TTCGTAGGGGAGAGGGCTAGACACTTTGCAGTGAAGAAGCGGGAAAGTTCGGAGAGATAGCCGTTTACTTTCGAACACAGGTCATCAATTCCATTCCCAGTCGCCATGATCGAGCAATCGTCGGCATAAGAGACAATCGAGACTCCCTCTGGTGGTTGAGGGAGCTTGGAAATGTAAAAGTTAAACAGTAGCGGGGAAAGGACACTACCCTGTGGAACCCCCTGTCTTATTTTTCTAAGTTTGCTCGATTTGTCTCTAAACCGACGAGCGTCGACCACTCAGATAATTCGCCGACCACCGTTTGGGCCTCTGTGGGAGAGTGGAAGCCTCTATATCTTCTAGTAGCGTGGAATGGCAGACGGTGTCAAACGCCTTTAACAAGTCCAACGCTACTAGAATCGTTCTCTCACGGACGGTTACGGTTAAGGCCACGATATATCTGAGTGTTTATGGCGTTAAGTGCTGTTGTTGTACTGTGCAGCAAGGCCTCCAGTGTCTTCGCTACCGGGGAAAGGAGTGTTATCGGCCGATACGAATCTCCTTTGTTGACAGTTTCCCCGGTTTGAGCAGTGGGACCACTCTCCCCGCCTTCCAAATATCTGGGATGATGAGAGTGGCCATAGACAAATTGAGGACCTCCGTTAGGTACGCTACTCCCGCAGGACCAAAATTTTCCAGCATCAGCATGCATATTCCGTTGTTATTGTTGTTGTAACAGCATACAAATTCTCCAAAGAGATTTTGGGGAGTGTTGCTGGAGTGACAGTCCTTGGCCAGATATACATTTGGGTCGTTCCGGTTACGTAGACCCGACTGTCGTGGGAACGCATATTCCGTCGGGACCCATGGCTTTGGAGGCTTTCTCCTTCCCGATGGCCACCTGAACGTCACCGCAAGTGAAAGCAAGTGGGGGCACAGGTTGTTGGCAGTTTGTGCAGCCTTCTGGTTACTCGACGCTTGGCTTTGTCCACCGGAGGATGCAGTATGAACTGCCGGCTAAAATAGAAAATTAGTTTACTTCAAATATTTTTCTTGAGCTGTAAACAACATGATTTCATTTGGAACTTTAAATTAAACATTTTTTAAATAAATTTATAT